TACTCGTATCCCTTACAATTTTGCATCTACAACCGCTTATATCTTATATAATCGTTACAATTATTCCTGTACTACCTTATTTGAAAGGATATAAGTGAGCAATATTTAGCACTGAAATTGATAACGTAATTGAATCTGGCAAATCGAACCAGACCTTAGAAAATGAATTTATGAGGTAAATAAACTTTGAAAATGAAGAATACTACTAGTCCCGTAGCCCCATTATATTTCCCGCTTATCACCGATTTAAGACCCAAAACCGCCCTAAAAATTGGAGATCTTCACCTCTAAAGTCAGAGAGCTTGCTACGGGAAAAAAATCTAATATATCTGCTTGAGGAATTAGACAATATCAAGAAAGATATATTAGGATTACTACGAAATACCGAAGGAGAAAAAAATGAATGTCACGCGCATCATATTTACCTTGAAGAAATAAGCCATGGAAATCAAGTGGAATAAGTTGCCTCATAAAGCGAGAAATCATTAAAAACATTAACAAAAGAAAGAAGCGGTTTTATGCTGATCTCAATAATATATATATATATATATATATATATATATATATATATATATATATATGATTTTTTTTCTTCGTTTTATTAATGGATTTGTATTTTTTCTCTCTTTTTGATCACCAAGGAACGATCAAGAAAATATATTAAACAGAACAATATATATATGTATATATATATATATGCTTAGGAAAGGTAAAGAAAAAACATTTTGATAATTTCAACGACAGAAACGAGAAGCTTTAGTGACGTGTTCAATGGCGTCGGAAGTAAACTTGTCTGTAGCCCAAGTGGAAGGGGGGTGGGGGGGGGTGGAGTTACCTGTTTGAAAATTTTTTTTTTGCCTTTTTTTTAGACAGGGACCGAAAGTCATCTTCTATGTGTGTGTGTGTGCATATATGAATGCACATATATACATTTATGTGTGTGTTGCGCACACACACAAATCTCTCTCTCTCTCTCTCTCTCTCTCTCTCTCTCTCTCTCTCTCTCTCTCTCTCTCTCTCTCTCTCTCTCTAATATATATATATATATATATATATATATATATATATATATATATATATACATATATATATATATATATATATATATATATTATATATATATATATATATATATATGTATATATATTATATATATATATATATATATATATATATATATATAATATATATACATACATACATATATGCACACACACACACACATACATACATACATATGTATACATATATATATATAGATAGATAGATAGATAGATAGATAGATAGATAGATAGATAGATAGATAGATAGATAGATAGATAGATAGATAGATAGATAGATAGATAGATAGATAGATAGATAGATAGATAGATAGATATAGATAGATAGATAGATAGATAGATATGTATATATATAATATATATATATATACATATAAATGTATATATATGTATATATATATATATATATATATATATATATTATATATATATGTATATATATATATATATATATATATATATATGTATATATATATATATATATATATATATATATATATATATATATATATATACATTCATATGTATAAATAGATAGAGATAGATATAGATATACATATACATATATTATACATATATATATACATATATATATATATTATATATTATTATATATATATATATTATATATCGATGTATGAGAGTAAAATATAAAAAGGAAAAATATCCTCTGTGCAATATTTCGACCCATAATTGCAGGGAGCAGACCCCCCCCCCCCCCCCAGTCGCGCCGCCTTGAAAACTTTCTTCTCAAAAATTGTGTAGCCGCAAAGTTGCTGTCACAATAGCACTTTTTCCTTTTTTTTTTTTTTTTTTTTTGGAATTTTATTTAACATAAATACAACATTCTCGAATATAGTCTCTGATTTGACTGCTTGGCGGGAAAAAAAAGTTGACGGGAAGGTTTTCAGACGGAAACGACCATTATCGTCTGACTGGAAAATCGACAATTCGCTCAAAAATGGACAAAATTTCAGAAAATTGTCAGAAGATTGACGGAAAAAGTGCTAGTGTGACAGCCCCTTATATGGACAATGAGAACGGACTTTCACCATTTCAGAAAATAAAAAAACAAAGTCGTAGAAATGATTAGTATACAATTGGTATATATTAGATATAAGTATAATCAGATATAATTAGATATAAGTAGATATAGTTGGTATATAAGCAAAGGGTACAGCGACTAGGATTGCAAGTGGCTCATAACTTTATTACAGTCTTAGGAAATACCTGAAATACCTTTTGTTATCAGTAATGGTGAGAAAGCCTGAGATAAGGATCAGGATCATAAGAGGATGACATCTAAAATCGAATAAATAATTTTTTTTTTTTTTTTTTTTTTTTGCGAAAGATAAAATAAATATATTGTTTTTCTTTTTTTTTTGCGAAAGATTGAATAATCAAAAGCTGTCTCTTCTGGAAGCACTGAGATAACTGCA